TTCTTTATTTGCTGTAACTAAACTCCTCTAAACTCTGCCTTAATATTGTGACAGCCATGGGACAGTGAATTCATAGATTCACAGCGAGTTTGGGCTGAATATGCGTTAAAGAGACAAGAGTCTCAGGCACAGAACAGGCGTTTGACTCTTGAAGATCTGGAAGTAAGTGTTGCTGATTATTTGGATTCATAAATTCCTTTTTTATTGTGTTTTATGTATGAATTAAAGACTTCATACTAATTAATCAGGACCTTCTTATTATCTCCATTGCCTTGTTTAAGTCAGGTTAGTTAGTTACATAGTGCTTGCACAGAAAATTGAGAACATTTAGTTTGTGCTGTGGGTCTGTTAATTGTTGTGATCTTGTTGAAAAGAACAATACTAGCTTCAACTGTGCGATGCTTCATTTAGCTCTTCTTTATTTACTCCAATACTTCTAATATTTTATTAATTATTTACAGGATTCATGGGACCGTGGAATTCCTCGAATCAACACTTTATTCCAGAAAGATAGACACACCCTTGCATATGACAAGAGTTTTTCTATGTGAAGACTTGATACTAAATCTTGTGTTAGCAATAGCAGTAAAACTGAAAATCCCAGCATCCCACTGTTCTGATATTTCAAATCCCTTCTTTCCAGAAAACTTGAGTCTTTATTTGCAGCAATTTAGTCTGTTTCTTTGAGTAATAGAGTTTTTGTTATTTGGGGTGTATAGATGCAAGTTACCATGGATGTTGTTAATGGCTGACTCCTTTGGCAGTTACGAAGTAACTACATCACCTGTGCTGAATTTATTTTATTTGTTTTATGAATTAGTTGTTCTTTGCAGGGTCAGTATTTAAGTTCAACGAAGTGAAAGTGCCTTAAGCTCCTAGTCTGTGTAATGAAGACCAGGTTTGGGGAGAGACGTGGAATTCAAGAAGTAAAAGTTGATAAGGGAACAGATAAAGCATCAGGGAGCAATATGGATGGCGTTGCTTTGAAGGAAGATGCCAACAGTCAAGATGAGAGCATTGTCATCGAGGGAAAGGCTAACTCAGAGCCAAGTGAGTAGCAAGTGTGTAACAACGTCCAGGGAAATGAAGAAGCTGAAATGCCAAATGTCACTGGGGAGGAACAGAATCTTAATGTTACAAAGGAGCTGAAAAAGAGAAAGCGCAGTGCAGATGTTGAAATTGCTATCGCATCTCCTACTGACAAATGTTCATCCAGGCTTCGCCCAAGGAAGGAGGTACCTTCATTCCAGATGGTGGATTTGAATGAGAACGACATTGAAAGGATTGTGGCAATGAGAATAAAAGTTTACTGGCCAGACTTGGGAAAATAGTTTGCAGGAAGAATTAAATCCTTCAATAGAGAGAAGATACTTCATACTGTAAACTACGATGATGGTGACGTAGAAGAGCTAGACTTGAAGAAAGACAAATTTGAACTTGAGGTCAAGCCTATAGATGGTTTTCACATAACAGCATAACTTCACTCCAGAAAAAGCAAGAAGGATCTCAGTGGTCATGTGGTTGGGAAAACAAGTTTTAGCCAGGAGTATGTTAAGGCCAAGGACAATGCAAATATGGAAGGAGAACGCAGTCAGGATCCCGGTGGAGATGTGGTTGCCAATGTGAGTTTTAGCCAGGAGTATGCTAGGGTCAAGGATGAAGCAGAGAAAGAAGGAGAAAGCAAGAAGGATCTCAGTGGTGATGTGGTTGCTAACAGGATTTATAACCAGAAGTATGATAAGGTGCCAGGAGTATGCTAAGGTCGAGGATGAAGCAGAGATAGAAGGAGAAAGAAAGAAGGATCTCAGTGGCAATGTGGTTTCCAACACAAGTTTTAGCCTGGAATATGATAAGGTCAAGCATAATTCAGAGATAGAAGGAGATGGTCCTAAAACTGCAGTATCAAGGGAAAGATGTGGAATCTAATCCAGGGGAACAACAACCTGCTGATAACAAGAGTGAGATAGATGAGAATCAGGTAGGTTCTGCAAGGCAAAATGCCAGGTTCACTGATGTAGATGGAAGCAGAAAGCGTTGAGTTGTCAGGAGCAAACGTAAGTGACCACTAAATTATTGCTGAAATTAACTGAAAGAGGTTGAACACCATTTCTAGCAAGTAAGCCTGCATCTGAAAATTATGTCTTTACTCTTAAAGGATGCCCTTCCATGGTGGTTCTCATCCTACTCCTTTCATTGCTTTATATTCATGCATTCAGTAAGTAATTTTACATGTAACAATTATGCACATAATGCTTGTCCATTGATATCTAAAAATATGTTTGGGTTTTTGTCTAAGTCCTGGCCCAATGATGCTCAATTAATACTGATGAAGAATCTTTAATTGTCATATAAATGTGTCTGTGTTTTGACTTAGACTTTTTGTTTTGCATTTCCTTTGGTATGAAAGAGAAATATCCATCCTTTCTCTAATAATAGATAGGAATTGAATTGTGCTATGCTTGAGATGGGTAAAAATTGCTAAATGCGAAAACTTACCGGGAGAGTGAAAGCTGAAACATTAGGTGACCACCATCCTTATGAATCATTTTTGCCAACCTAAGATGTGTCCCTGTCCTGGCAGACTTGAGATTTTGACAGGTTGTGAAATATCAGCAGGAATAGAGAACAATTAACATGGTTTCCTCTTCCTACAACCTACTATTTCAGAAGAAAGAAAGACTAATTAATTAAATTATAATTATTCCTGCCATCAGAATAGATGTAATCACCTGTGATTTTGTTGACACGGAATCCTTGGCCCTGTTTTGCCCAAATAGATAGGCTGTAGCATTTGTGCTTTGTACTGCCTTCAACTGAATCTAGAAAATCGACCTTTTCCCTTGGTTGGACCCTGACTGCTGAGACCGCAATTGGATCCTTCATCCTTATGAAGGGTCTATAGCCGACTGTCTATTTCACCCATTACCGTAGCTCAGTTGATCAGCAAGACACAACAGTACATTCAGGTGCACCAACAAGAGATTTGGTTATTTTGATTTGTGTGGTTCTGTAATTTCAAGCGACAAATTCACATGGAAATAGTGTCTAAAGCTTGCTGAAGGGCCAGAGCAAAGTGAAAGAATTGGGGCAAGGTTTTGTCAACAAATAAGAAGAATGAACTGACAAGCTTAATATAGAAATTAAGAAAAGAAATGGAGATGCAAAGCGTTGTTGGATTGTTGATGCTAATTTCTAGATCCTTTTTCTGTCATGAGTCATTGACAGCTGTAAGAGCTATAGTCATCAACCCACTAATGCTGCGACTTCTGAAAGAGAATTTGCGTTGTGTTTCCAATCTGCACAGAACCAATTCTAGAGTAGTTCAGGAAGTTATAATAAACACTTGTCTATACATGAGTAGAGCTACAATTTGTAAAGCCAAAAGTGAAAAAAGAACAAAGTTCGTCAAGGCTAGCACACACAACATATTACAATGAAGGATGTTATGGATTCAATGAAATTGTTGCCTATTTGTGGAACTATCCACTCAATAACACAGTACAGCTTGTCTATCTGGATCAAAGGTTGTATCGGTGGGAAATAAGAATGAGCCTTTATAAGTTCTGTTCTCAACATGTCTGTTTCTTCATAAAGAACTTCCACGATACCAATTCTCTGTTTCGCTGATTTTATGGTGATTCCACTGCATTTTTTAATTTTCTGTTTGCAGTAGAATATCTCACATGACATGGAGAAGCCCCTCTACTAGACTTTTTATTTCTGGTACCTACAGAATTCCATCCACCAGAATCCTGAATGTTGGAAGGGTGATATCCGACCTAGTCCAGTCCCTTTGCTTTCAGGATACTTTTGTGTGGAACCAGATGAAGTACATAGTTATATCATTTTGAAAGAAACCTTAAGATTAACTTGTTTATGAAGTAGACCAATTCCGCAATTAACCTGTTTATGTTGTGAATCTCCTTTGAAGTATGAACTATACAGCCATATTATGTGTACATTTTTCTGTCAAGTTCCTACTTGTGTTGATCTTTTGTATGTGTCTGATACATTTAGTTTCATAGTATACATAGAAGACCAACATAACTAAACTGCATCGTATAACTGGAAGGCAGTGAAACTTTTGGTTGATATATAGAAATGCCTGAACAAAGTTCTGAATTGTCTGTAAGAATTATGCTCCCTCTACACCTTCCATTTTATCAGCAGCAAAAAGAAATCATTATAACTATATGCCCAATTATCAAATATCAAGTTGCTTTAATATGTATTGTCTTCTATACCAAAAAAAATTCCAAAAAAAATCAAATACCAAGTCTGGATGTTTAAACTGGGTAGCAGAAAATTTATTATTACTATAGAAAGAAAAAGTAGCAGTAAAAGAGTGGATGAGTGGTAGGAGGGAAAAAAAGAAAAACAAAGGTAGCAGTAAACTCCTCTTGTGTTATGAAATAACAAAAAATGTGGATGTCCCTTTGTATTCTCAAGGGGATTAATTCATGATTTTATAGCTACATTATGTATAGAAATTACAATCCATAAATCTATACATGTAGTAGAGAAACCGTTTCATAGGTTTCTTCATATTATTGTAGTAGTGGATGTTTAATAGGATTTATATACCTTTAATCTTGTAGTGCCTATATATAGAGGTACATTGAGAACCTTTGGGAGTACTTTTGTATCTTGTTGAAATATAAGGATATCATTATCCCTTTCTCTACTCCTTTCTCTAATACTTCTTCAATTCCTATTGTAGTATTTCATTTTATTAGTTTTACAACACGTTATCAGTACGAAAGCTCTACTTTTGAGCAAAAGGTGAAAACAGATGCACTACTTTGAACAAAAGTGAAGCACAAGATTTTGCCGAAATTCTGCCCGTATTTCTTCAAGTGACTTTTGAGGTAAATTTCTAAGTCAAAAACTTATTTTAATTTCTTATGGCTAATTTTACAAAATAAGAGTTCGTACCTCTTGATATTTTTGGGAAAAATTATTTATCATGGGTATTGGATGTTGAAATCCATCTTGAGGCAATGGGTCTTGGTAACACTATTGTTGAAAAAAATGAATTCTCAAACCAAGACCGCGCCAAAGCTATGATTTTCCTTCATCATCATTTAGATGAAGGATTAAAAATAGAGTATCTTACTGTCAAAGATCCTCTTGTCCTTTGGCAAGATTTGAAAGAAAGATTCGACCACCTGAAGTTGGTCGTTCTTCCAAAAGCCCGATATGATTGGTTTCACTTACGGCTGCAAGATTTTAAATCTGTCAACGAATATAATTCAGCCATGTTCAGAATCACTTCTCAATTATCATTATGTGGCGAAAAAATCACTAATGAAGATATGTTAGAGAAAACATTTTCTACTTTTCATGTCTCTAACATGCTCCTGCAGCAGCAACATCGAGAGAAGGGATTTAAAAAATATTCTGAACTTATTGCATGTCTTCTCTTGGCTGAACAAAATAATAAATTATTGCTGAAAAATCATGAGTCCCGACCAACTGGTACAAATCCATTCCCTGAAGCGAATGCGACCCAATTTCAAAATTCTGGTCGAGGTCGTGGACGTGGCCGTAGAGGTGGTCGTGGCCGTGGACGTGATCGTAGTAAATTTGTGCCTCGTGAAAATTTTAAACGTGACAAACAATAAAATGTTTCCCAAAAGAGGGAAAATAACTACGATCAGAAAAATGGAGAAAAGAAAGTTTATGAAGAAAAATGCTATCGGTGTGGTATGGAAGGTCATTGGTCCCGTACCAGTTGTACGGCCGAACATCTTGTTGACCCCTATCAAGCATCATTGAAAAAGAAAGACAAAGGCGTTGAGACAAATTTCATTGATAAAAAAAAATGACTATGATGATGGTGATGATGCTGATATGACACACCTCAATGTTGCTGATTTTTTTGAGCATCCTGAAGATGTCAACAAATATTCCATGATTATTTAAATATTTTTATGATGCTTTATCTTTTATGTAATTTTTCTTTCTATTGAATATTTATTTTCGCATCTTTATTAATATTTATTTTTGTTTAAAATTTTCTTCCTGAAGAAGAAATGGATGTCAAATATTTGGGATTAAATAATAGTGATGATGACATTTGTCTCATTGATAGTGCTACTACGCACACCATATTGAAAAATAAAAAATATTTTTCTTGTTTAAAAATGGGAGAGACAAATATTAATACCATTAGTGGTAGTACAAAATTGATTGAAGGATCCGGAAGAGCCACTCTATTTCTCCTTGAAGGGACTAAAATTGTCGTAAATAATGCACTACTCTCTCCCAAGTCTTGGAGAAACTTATTGAGTTTTAAAGATATTCGCGAAAATGGATATCATATCGAGACAATGACCGAGACAAATGGTGAATTTTTATTAATCACAAGTATTATTCTGGGCAGAAATGCGTATTAGAAAAATTGCCTTCTTTTTCTTCTGACTTATATTATGCACAAATTAGTGCAATTGAAATTCATCACCTAGTAGACCAGAAGTCTACTCATTCCAATGATTTTATGGTTTGGCATAATCGTCTCGGACATCCCGAATCTATAATGATGAGACGAATAATTGAGAATTCACATGGCCACTCATTGAAAAATAAAAAGGTATTAAAAGCCAATGAATTCTCTTGTGTTGCTTGTTCTCAAGGGAAAGTAATTATTAGACCATCACAAGTTAAAGTTGGGACTGAATCCCCTGTATTTCTAGAACGAATTCATGGTGATATATGTAGAACTGTAGATCCACCATGTGGATCATTTCGATATTTTATGGTGCTAATTGATGCATCAACTAGATGGTCACATGTATGTTTATTATCTACTCGCAACCTGGCGTTTGCGAGATTACTTGCTCAAATAATTAAATTGCGAGCACAATTTTCAGATTATCCAATAAAGAAAATTCGTCTAGATAATGCTGGTGAATATTCGTCACATGCTTTTGACGATTATTGTATGTCCATTGGAATAACTGTTGAACATCCTGTAGCTTATGTTCACACACAAAATGGTCTAGCTGAATCACTTATTAAACGGTTACAATTAATTGTTAGACCATTGTTGATGAGGTCTAAACTTCCTTCATCTGCTTGGAGACATGCTGTTTTACATGCAGCAACACTTGTGAGAATTAGGCCGACAAGTTATCATACTTATTCTCTCCTACAATTAATTTTTAGCTATGAGTCCAACATTTCTCATTTACGAATATTTGGTTGTGCGGTATATGTACCGATTGCACCACCCCAACGTAGTAAATTGGGCCCCCAAAGAAGATTGGGATATATGTCGGATATGAATCACCTTCAATCATTAAGTATATGGAACCATTAACAGGTGATTTATTTACTGCGAGATTTGTAGATTGCCATTTTGATGAATCACATTTTCCGACATTAGGGGGAGATAAAAATCAACCTAAAAAGGAAATTACTTGGAAAAAATCGTTGAATTTCCTTGATTCTCATACTAAAGAATGTGAATTAGAAGTTCAAAGGATTATACATTTGCAAAAAATTGCAAATCAATTACCGGATGCATTTAATGACTCCAGAAGAGTTGCTAAATCACATATTCCTACTGAAAATATTCCAATTAAAATTGATGTCTCTGAAGGACAAATTACAAGTGCTAATGAGTCTAAAGCACGCTTGAAGCGTAGGAGACCTCTTGGTTCCAAAGATAAAAATCCTCGAAAGAAAAGAGGAGTATATGAATCAACAATTAGTAACAAAATTCAACCTCCTGAAGAGGTCGCTCTTAAAAAGCCAATTCTTGAAGAGAATGAAATTATAGAAAATTCAATAAATTTTGTCATTTCAAGAAAAAGTTGGAACCGAAAAGAAATAATTATTGATAGTATTTTCGCATATAATGTAGCACTTGATATTATGGCAGAAAATGAGGATCATAAGCATAGATCGGTTGATGAATGTCGAGGTAGAAATGATTGGCCAAAATGGAAAGATGCGATCCAATCTGAATTGGACTCATTGGCTAAAAGAAAAGTTTTTGAACTTGTAGTCCAAACACCTGAAGGTGTAAAGCCAGTAGGATATAAATGGGTATTTGTGAGAAAAAGAAATGAGAAAAATGAAATTGTAAGGTATAAAGTAAGACTTGCAGCCTAAGGATTTTCACAAAGGTCTGGATTTGATTATAATGAAACGTATTCACCTGTAGTGGATGCTATCACATTTAGATATCTTGTGAGTTTTGCAGTACATGAAAAATTAGATATGCGTCTAATGGACGTTGTTACTGCATATTTATATGGAAATCTTGAAAATGATATTTATATAAGAATCCCCGAAGGATTCAACATGCCTGAAGCATGCAAATCAAATCTTAAAAATATTTATTCTATTAAATTACAAAGGTCTCTGTATGGGCTCAAACAATCTGGACGTATGTGGTATAATCGACTCAATGAATGTCTGACAAAAGAAGGTTATACCAATGATCCAATATGTCCATGTATTTTTATCAAGAAAAATGGATCAAATTTTGTGATAATTGCTGTATATGTTGATGATCTAAATTTGATTGGAACTCCTGAAGAGATTCAAAATAGTGTTGAATATTTGAAGAAAGAATTTGAGATCAAAGATTTTGGAAAAACAAAATTTTGCCTTGGTTTACAAATTGAGCATTTGAAAGGTGGAATTTTTGTCCACGAAACTGCTTATATCCGGAAGGTATTAAAATGATTTTATATGGACAAAGCACATGCATTGAGTACCCCAATGGTTGTCAGATCATTAGATCCTAATAAGGATCCTTTTAGACCACGAGAGGAAAATGAAGAGATACTTGGTCCTGAAGTACCATATCTCAGTGCAATTGGTGCACTAATGTATCTTGCTAATTGTACAAGACCTGATATATCATTTGCAGTAAATTTATTAGCAAGATTTAGTTCCTCGCCCACAAGACGACATTGGAATGGTATTAAACATATTTTTCGCTATCTCCAAGGAACAATAATTTTGGTTTATTTTATTCAAATAAATCCAAACCTGAATTGATTGGTTATGCTAATACTGGGTATTTATCCGACCCGCATAAAGCAAGATCTCAGACTGATTATTTATTTACATATGGAGGCACAGCTATTTCTTGGCGATCTACAAAGCAATCACTAGCCGCCACTTCATCGAATCATGCTGAAATAATAGTAATTCATGAAGCCAGTCGAGAATGTGTTTGGTTAAGATCAATGACCCACTATATCCAAAAAAGTTGTGGGTTATCTTCCGGAAAAGAAAATTCTCCAACTATATTATATGAAGATAATGCAGCTTGTACATCTCAATTGAAAGGAGGATATATTAAAGGAGATATGACAAAACACATTTCACCAAAATTCTTTTTTACTCATGATTTGCAAAAGAATGGTGAAATTGATGTGCAACAAATTCGATCAGATAATAATCTGGCCGATTTATTTACCAAGGCATTACCAACTGCGACATTTGAGAAATTGGTGAAGAGTATTGGAATGCGACGATTAAAAGATCTCAAATGACGTTTGCATTAGAGGGAGAAATTATTACACAAGAATAGTGTACTCTTTTTCCTTCACTAGGGTTTTTGGTCCCACTGGATTTTTCCCTAGTAAGGTTTTAACGAGGTATATTCTTTGTGTAATGGACATCCAAGGAGGAATGTTATGAAATAACAAAAAATGTGGATGTCTCTTTGTATTCCCAAGGGGATCAATTCATGATTTTATGACTACATTATGTATAGAAGTTACAATCCATAAATCTATACATATAGTGGAGAAACTGTTTCATAGGTTTCTTCATATTATTGTAGTAGTGGATGTTTAATAGGATTTATGTAACTTAAATCTTGTAGTGCCTATATATAGAGGTACATTGAAAATCTTTGGAAGTACTTCTGTATCTTGCTGAAATATAAGGATATCATTATTCCTTTCTCTACTCTTTTCTCTGATACTTCTTCAATTCCTATTGTAGTATTTCATTTTATTAGTTTTACAACATCTTGATTCAACTTTTGTTTCTTTGGTAATTATTTCATTCGTAATTTATTTTGTCACCTCAACTTGTGTCAAATACTATAGACAAACAGGATATAGCCAACTGGAGTAATGATTTTTTTTTATTTGAAAACATAATATTAACATATTGTCAACTAACAGCCCACAACATCATACAAATGCACAAATAATGGTTGCAAACTAATACACTGGATCTCTAAGGTGGATGACTGACTACTTAGTTCTCGTGTTGTAACCCTCCATTCAAAAGAGAAAAAAAATGCACAAATAGTGGGATGAAAACTCTCATAATTGTTTTTTCATAATCGTGAGACTTAAAATCAAATCTCTTACTCTTGGCACCTCAAATTTTGTAAATTAGCATCAGATTAAGGCTTAATTGGAAGCTTATACAGAAATTAGCTTAAGATACATATGTAGTCTATTCATTTTATAGTGTTTAATTTTGACAAATTCACAATGAAATTGTACTATATTTTGAAATGTTCTAAAATATGTTTCTTACATTCACTCATCATAGTGAAGCAATAGCTCATAATTGCCTCGTAAAGCAAAAAGATAATTTTAATGAACAAAAAAGAAATAAATTTCAATAATTTGGTGAATGT